ACACACACACACACACCTGTTAAAAGAAACTGAGTTGCTGCCTTGAAATGCATTTAAAAAAAAAGCTAGACTAATAAATCAGCTGATAAAGATTATTTTTTGCCCCAATTGAACAGATGATAGTTTAGATACAGTAAAAAAGACAGGGAAAGACAGTTATGTCATACAACAAATGTCCCTAGTTCAAACTGGGGACATTGTGGGAATATAGCATCTGTCTTAACAACTTGACCACTGGATGTCCCAACAATTAAAACAAATTAAAAAATGTAAACCTGCAATAATTGATTATTTGGGTGAAGTGGAAATAAGTTGAACTTGTTAGAAAACAGTTGCTGCTTATTTACACATCCAGCAGTTTTGGAGCAACATTATCATTCATTTGCAGTCTCAGGAAAAGAAGTGCTCCCCTGTGTTCACCAGCTAGTTGCTAACTGTGCCTCTCTGCTGATAGCAGGTTGTGTATCGTAGGTTTTTAGGGCTTTCTTTTTATGAAAACAGTTGCGTGCTGTGGCCTAAACACTATAATAGTGGTAAGATTGAGCCAGAAGAAGTAAAGACAAAGGCAGTTAAACAATGAGCTGAATTCAGTTGATAACTCTCTGTAGATGTATCCCTATGAGCAACACTTTCACATTGCTTTCACATTGTCAATTGATACAATGTTATAAAAAATACAGATTATAGACGCTTGAAGGCATCCTTACTAAAAATCTTGCTTATATTATCTTTAAGAAGAAGAAGAACCTGAAGAGGGAGATTAAATTTTTTCACTCCATTTTTCAGTTTACACTCACATAGACCTAAAATACAGACATGCACACCCATAGACATGCAAATGAGAGAGAATGGTGTGACTGCCACCTTAAAGTCTAGTTTTAGAACTGGATTTACTGTAAAAAAAAATAAATAAATAAATAAAAAAATCCATGATAGATGTGTTAGTTTGGAAGAAGGCCTCACTGATAGTACGGATAAAATGAATTAGATATGGTCTAAGAAAATAGAACACCTTTGGCTTAGGATGTAAAAACATCTGCCACCCAGATGTGAACTGTTTGGCTACTAAATCAAACTGGAAAAAGTATGCACACATCAACACTACTTAACTCAGGCCTGATGTCAAACTACTAAAGACAAGCTTTAGTTTGGATAAGGAAATAAAATACACACCAGGTAACAGGCTGGTATTACATTTTAACTGTACAGCACTTGTTTTAAAGCCAGTTAGAGAGCACTGCTGCGCTAGAAGTAAAATCTCCTTAGGGAATCCTGCTAACCCCGTTTGAAATCACCCTATGTTTTTATTGAGATCATTATCACAAATATTGCCTTTGACAGAATCAATTTCCTTGTTTTGTGCTCTGTGGTGCCATATCGGCTAAATGTTGCATT